TCTAACTATCAGGTCACATCCACTCTCCCAAAATGACCTCCAGACTTTGGCAAATGAAGTTGACCTTCATTATTCACTTGTCATTAATTCAAAGTAGTACTTTAGAATCTGCTCCATGCCCTTCCTTGGATGAACTTCACTCTGTGAGATTATGAAAAAGCCTTTCATTGCCAGGTCTCCTGTCTTTCAAACATTTGGATTCTCCATAAGTCTACTGAGCTGGAGCACTATCTCCTTTATGTAAACTTCATTGAGTTCTTTGCTTTATAAAGGTTTAATTCTATGTTTTTCGGGAATCCTGATTTGATCTTATTAGATTGAAATACCATATTTTTTTTATTTTTACACATTAGGGATTTAATTAGCCCTGTGTAAACTGGAAGTAGGCCCTGGAATTATTCTCCTCATCTGTACCCTTTAAAAATATTTCTTACCCATCTCATTTCGGATTAGAACCTCATTTCTCACATGTTTTCAGCAAAACTTTATGATATATTCTTGTGTCCCTCATTAAATTCAAACTCCTGCAATGTCAGAGCCAGACTCAGAAATATGTCTACCTCTTGCTGTTTTTCCTTTTTGCAATGCTTTAAGAAATAAAGTGGAAGTAAAACATTTCTCCAGTATTTCTCCAGTCATAGGGTACACTTAAAGCTTAATTTTAGACTTGGGGGGGTTCCTTTGGTTCTTCTCTGCTTATTCATGGAAACAGACTAGCTTTCAGTCTTCGCTTTGGGGTGAAGATAGCTGCTTTATTCTGTGCTCAATCCCAAGTGATTGGTCTAGAAACAACAAATGTGTGAAGCTCTTCTTTGGAAAACTCCTTGCAGTAAAGGAAAGTTGTTAAACATCTGCCAAGACACTTATGATCTCTGTTAAAATTTGTCCTAAAATCTTTCCCTTGCCACAGCCCCCTGCAGGAAACTAGAGAAAAATAAGGAAGTCAGTGAGTGAAGACCTTTTACCTGTGTTGTTTCTCAGTCCATACATCCCAGCTCTTAACATTTTGACCATAAGCTGCATAGGGATAGGGTGGAGGCAATACATTCACACAGGCCTAGTTGCTACTGGGACATAGACGGCTTAAGACAAATAACATGTAGCAACCCGGCCAGGTAAGGGCTAGAATGCAGCCTTACTCAAGGCTAACTGAGAACTGACAGCATTAAAAAGCTGGGAAGAAATTTGACCTCCGTGTTAGATAATTATAGATGCTATGCATATCAGGAAAGCTTGGATATAATTGACTTTATTGTAGGGGAAACAAAGCCTAGCTTCCAGAAAAGAAATACCAATGATTGTATCACAAAGAAAAAGGACACTCAAATATTCACCCCCATCTCAAATCTTTTTGGACAACTTCTCATCAGCAGAAGCTCACAAGAACACCAACCCGTGTGCCCTAGGAAGCAGTGGAAAGAGAATTCCACTGCTCTCAGCTAATGTTGTCCTCACCTCTTCTGAGGCTGGTTTGAGGGCACAGGCTTAGGACTGGAGAGCAGCATTTACAAAACCAGGTTAAAAGCTGAGAAAAAGGCAACAATTATGAGAGACTAAAAAAATCAGTAATTTTGTGATATGAATTGTGATTCCTTCAGGAACTAAGTCTGATCCACCAAACTTGGTTATATCCAGGCCTTTACTTAAACTAACCAGGTTTTAATCCTTTAATGGTAATGAAACAGTATTTTTTCCAGTCACTTTGTTATTTCCTTTTCTCTTTATCTCTTGTTTTGTGCAAAAATTTTTTTCTTCAGCCATACCACTTAGAGGTCTGGATTTTTTTCAAATGACAGAGCACTTCAAAACCCCAATAGGTTTGTGGCAAATGAACATGGTAAAAACGTAAACTGTTTAACATAGTAAGACATGATCTCACATTTTGAGTGTAGCAAAATATCCTGAAACCAGATACTTATGCAAATTATAAGAATTTCTTCTCCCCATTACACCTCAAACAATTTACCAAGCAAGTTCCTGTCACAGAAAAAAAAAAAAAAAAAAAAACATGGGCAGCATGAGACAGGCTTACAAGTGTGAAAATAATTTTTTGAATAAAAACATTTTGCAATGGCAATTCTGACAGGGTATCAGCAGGAGGGTTTGCCCTAACCAGTGCTCAGTGAAGAAAAGCAAATCACTAGAATGCAACTCACTAACCCAAAATGAGAAAGAAACTTATGTGAGAAACCTAGTTATTTAACTTCCTAGCAATCTGAGTAATCACAGTAGTGTAGTCCAGCGTAGAACTGCATGTCCCTCCCTCAGCTAGGTTCAAAGAGGTCATGAAGCTCAAGCTGCTCCTTAGATGAACCATTTGCTTAAGGCTCTGCAGCTTTGCACTGCAAGGCCTTCAGTCTTCTCCCCTGCTCTGATACTTTGCTGTGGTAGCATATGTAAAGTATAAAGGTTTTCTGTGACATGGGAATTAATAACCCCCCTAAGAACAAAGAGAACTACAGTATAAGTATGTGCATTAAAGGAAAGAAGAATATCATATTGATCTTTTGGAGCACAAAGTGCAAGCTTTTAGAAACAGCCTGAGGAATAACCTCACTCTAAAGGCCTGAATCTCAAAGTCAAAATTAGGGCTCTTCTTTCAGCCATTCCCTTGTCTAGACTATGTGTAAGGTTCCATTCATGGGAAAGGGTGACAGATGAAGAGTTCCCAAGATAGAAGTCAGGGCAAGGAGATTCCAGACTACACAGACAAGAAGGTGCAGTAACTAGGTAAGATAGACCCAGTGGCTGTAGCCCACAAAGCATGGCCTGTATTTTTCATATAATATATTCAGGGAAGGTGGGGCAAGCAGAAGTCCAGAGACTCTTGACCAGCTGAAGTGTAGCTAGATAAGGGACACAGAAGAGAGAAAAGGTGTCCCCAGTGATTCTTGTGGATTTTATTTTAGTGGGGAACTCATTCTGTTATCAATACCTTGTACCATGCTGTAATTGAGCTGGAAAGGATGGGAGCAGTGAAAGTGAGATCTTATTTGGAACAAGATCTCTTCTACTGCATGATCTACCTGCTGTCTGCATACATCAATTCAAGAGCCCAAGTCTGATTAGGAAGGGTAGAAGGCACCATGGCAAGGTAATCATCCATTGGAAGGGATAACTGAAGGCAGCCTGGGCTCACTTGGGCAGTGAAGACAGAGAAGACTCCAAGAGACTCCACAGGGAGACATGTTGTGCTATACTTAGAAGAGTAATTATCATAACACAAGATTTTTAAGGAAGAACAAGGGTAAAAAGGAAAAAAGTTGTGATTCTGAAAATGCACCCTGAGAACAAAACAGCCAGGAAACAAGATGAGTACCACTGGAAATAAAGCTTGCTAGAGCAGTCTCATACAGAAGAGAAAGGAGTGCCAGAGTGCTGCCTGTCACTCTAGCAGGGCAAGATCCCATGGGTATGTATGGCATGAGCACTGAGTTTTACATGGCAATGCTTTGCCAGTGTTTAATGGCTAATTGCACCATCAGTTTGCAGTCTTAATCAATTATCAGGAGATGACACCATAGCTGATGAAGCTCAAATGCATCATTTGTTTAACTGCATGTAAAACCCAAGCCCAAAAGATACAATGGGCAGATAATTTAGTTACTATGCTGGATATGAAAATGTCAGGCATAACCTGGTAATTTCATGCCATAAATCTCACTGATATTCTGGTACACGATGTTGCAATTGCATTTATTTTACATTTAATATTAAAATTTATTTAAGCTTGTCTAACCAGTAATACAATATGTTCCTGTGTCATTATTAGGGTGCAGTGTTTCATTTTACCATAGCAGTATTTTTATTTATCATCAGTTCTGTTTTGAATGCTGGTTAAGATTAAAACGACTGTGAATCTGTCATTACAAACAAATATTGCATAACCTAGGTATGGAAGCAGTAAGCTTATTTATATCATTAGGTATTTATGTGATTTCAAGACTGAGTATTTATCCTGGATCTTTGGATTGGGCTGGCTAGTGTTCAATGACTAATGCTGTTAATTTTTCTAGGTCACAGTGCAAAAGCAGGTCTTTGCAATCTACTAGATCTACATATATAAATGATGAAGCACCTTCTAAAAGAACTTCTCAAAGTGTGGGTAAAAAAAAAGAATGCCAACTTTCAGGATAGCTGAAGTGAACTCTCATTTTTATGGAATTCTTTAGGCAATGATTCATGGATGTAACAGCTTATCATATAAAAAAGCAAAACAATTTTCAGAGCTTACATAACATTTGAAAGGTCCATGAACAAAAACTGTTTCACTGAGGCTGGAAATGACACAGGTGCTCTAAGCAGAGATAGCAATAATCAAAGCTCCTGCAGTGTTTTTCATCTGTGGATGTCAAGTTAGGCAGTAAAGTCCGTAGGTAACAAAGTTCTGTATAGATGTGGAAGTCATTAGCTATAAACCTAGATAATTTTTTCTTGAAAACAGGAAAGCTTAAAGAGGCTGGGTTATGATTCAAGTCACATTGCTGATAAAAAAGATGAAGTAATTGCAAGTGTAATCAGTATTTTGAAGGGGTAGCAATTTTTAGACATCAAAAGCACTAATATTAAAGCAAGCAAAGAAATTTGGGGTGGAGGCAAGTCCTCCATAAAAAAATCTAGCTTGCAGGGATTCACTGTGCCACATTAGGCAGAAGTACAGTTCTCTGCATGTTGCCCTGGTAGGAAATACCTGATGATTGCTAAAATATTAAGTGCTATGATTCTGCAAGCTGGCACCCCCAAAGGGCCTGAACTGCTCTAATGATGATTACCTTTCCTCCCACAATTCTTAAAGCAGAATGGATGGCAGTTTCAGATTGAATATATATTTTCCATGTGCTGAATAGTTGTTTTTGTTCATGCTGTTTGAGGTTAACTGTGCACGTACTAATTAAACCCACTGCTTCCTTTCTCGTAAAACCAAAACAAAGCTTCATACTACTTTCAGGTACAGCATCTGCGATCAAAGCTATATATACACACTGGCTCTGTGTGGGTTCAAACATTTCGAAGATTCAGTATCCTGAAAGGTGTCACCTCTTTTCCAGTCCTGAGAGTTCCAGTTTGTCTTAAAGTCTGAAGGCATCAGCACCTTCAGCCTCTGTCCCAGCACAGGAATGCTCTCAATATTGATCACCGTGGGCTTTCTCTGCACAGCCACTGCCATTGCTGAAGGTGGGTAGATGAAAGAGGCAAGGTATCTGGGGTTGTTGACTTGTTTTCAGTTTCATGTCCTTGCAGGAGATAGACTTGGTACAACAGGGAGAGGAAGGTGACATGGGACTAATGGGAGTGATGTCTTGGAGAACTGCAAGGTATCTAGAAAACCAGACACAGACGTTATAGCAGTACTATCTGCAGGGACACTGGGCAACATTCAGCATAGCTAAAGAAGGAAGAAAAGATCTTGAAAAACCAGGCCCTGCAAGTGAACTTGTAACAGCTGATAACATGGATATAGAGGTTTGAATGTGTGGAGGCATTCTGCTCTTCATCTGGAATTCTTGCATTGCAGAACGGACAAGATAAACCCTGCCCCAAAATGGACTGATATAAAATGAGATTTAAAAAATAATGATGAGTCTTCACAGCTTACTAAAGCAAAAGACAGTGCCATCCCATCATGTGTCATGATAGAATATTGAAGTTGCAAAAAGCTGTCAGTGAGGTTGTACATGGTACAGTAATTTCCCCTTACAATTTTTTTTGGAGTCTGTTAATCAGGCTTTTTTATGTGCTGTTATATTAGCTTGGGGTATATATTGTTGCTATACTGTGGTTTGGGAGTAGCTAGTTAAAAATAAGGAGAAAAAATATCAGAAACAAAAGCATGCAAACAGATTTTCTATTCCGTTTTACTGTTACCTAAATCATTTTGTTCCATATTCCATACAGGATGTCAACTTTTTTGTTCCTAAATGTAAATATATTTCTACTAGGCAGAAATTGTGATTTAAAAGTCTGATTTTAAATTTAAAATTTCAACCTTATCATCTATAGTCTATTGTTTTTTAGTTTCTTATGTATACTAAGAAGTTTCTGTTGAGGAAAACTGAAGCATGCAGGCCATTCATTGCCTGACTAAGTGGGCCAAATAACCTACAATTTAAGCAACAAGTAATTGCAGAGATTAATAATATAATTTTTAGTAATCAAAGCATTTATAGAGCTTTTTAAAGAATATTAATGCACTGCTAATGTGAATTGTGGTCTTGGAGTTCCTTCTTTGAAAACAGCATTTCTAGGAATCACCCATGGATAATAGGAGGTGGCAGAACTCCCTTTCCACTGTACAGGTTTGAAGTAAATGACTCCAGATCCAGATCCTTTCTTGACTGTTCCCTTACCATCACACTCTTTATTTTCTTACAGTAATGGAAGTGACTCAGCCAGCAATTGTGCTGGCCAACAGGCATGGAGTTGCCAGCTTGGTGTGTAAATACAAGAACATTGGGAATGCAAAGGAAATTCGAGTGACTTTGCTTAAACAGACTGGTGACCAGAGCATGGAAATCTGTGCTTCATCATACACCACGGAGTTTAAAACATTCTTTGTGAAAGAGGTCATTCAGTGCCGTGTTACCCCCGGCCAAAACAATGTGACCCTCACGCTGGCTGGCCTGCAAGCAAATGACACTGGGCTTTACATTTGCAAGATGGAGCGGATGTACCCCCCACCATATTTTATGAACAAGGGAAATGGCACACATCTCTATGTTATTGGTAAGGCAAGCAAGTTTACAGTACTGTGATACTTCCAAGTTAAGAGAGTTGCTATTACATCTCAAAGGTCTTCAGAGATCTTTTTGTAAGAAGTGAGGGTGAATACTGGTTTCAGCATTGAAAATCTTGACTAGCTCTTATTTCTTTCAGGTCTCCCTGCAGACGCCCAAAGCAAGCATAGTCATAGCCATGGAATGACAGCATAAGCAACACCATGCAGTGTACAGTATATCTAGTCAGTTAGATACAGAAGTGCAAAAAGTAACAGAGTAAGGTGTGAGCTCCTCTACAGATAAAGACTCTTTTCATTGGAGGCTGAGAAGGCAGCAACTCAGAGCTCAGTCCTAGTGGTATCCTGGGATAGCACATACTAGAGGAAAGCAGTGTAGAGACTGACTCACTGACTCTAGGGCCTTTCTTATGAGGCTCGAGTGTGACATGACATGTGTGATATCATATGTTTTAGATCCAGAACCTTGTCCAGACACTGCCATATATCTCTGGGTATTAGGAGCTACTGCCTCAGGATTTTTTCTTTACAGTATCATCATCTCAGCCATTCTTGTGGGCAAAGCGGTAAGTCCCATCAACTCAGCTCCCTTCTGCTAATAATATCCCTTTGTATGATGAGGACAAGGAGAAATAAATGAGAACAGGGAAGAACACTGTGAACAAATCCAGTGAGATGCTCCACTTTGCAAGTGCAATATTATTACAACAATATAAAATAACTTGCTGGACCTGCCACTTATATTTATTTATGGCTCATTTTTTTGCCAGCATACTAGAAAGCAGTCAGCTTCCATCAGCTGGACTGAGCCTTGGCTTAGGGCTGGATGCTTAAAACCAGGCAAAGTCTTGGATGCTTCTGGGATTGAAGGAAACAGTCTTCATGTGTACTCTCATTTCACAAATGATTCACACAAAATCCCAGAATCTAATTTGTTCCTTTTCTCATCATTCACCTCTGCAAAGAAAATTTAAACAACCTTCTCCTTGGATGGGGGAGGGGTAACTTTAAGCATTTTGAATTTCACAGCTACAAATGTCTGCACAAAAATATGCAAAATGTCAGCCTGGGTTGCCTTTTTCCACAGGGGTCTGCAGCACTCATAGTCTATTAGAAATTAACCTGAGCTTGAAACCAAACAATGATTTTTCAATCAGTCCTTGTTCCTAGAAGGTAAATGAAGCTGTCAGGTGTGAACACTCCTAGCTTTCAACCAACACTGAACTCTGAAGCAGGAGCACCTTCAAAGAGCTAAATGAATGGCAGGACTCTTTTTTTTTTTTTTTCCTTTGTATAAATAGCCCCTGTATATCCTGATCCTCCATCAAATGCTCTTAACAGATCTTCTATAAAGAGGCAGAGAAAGGTGTCTAGAATACATTCTACTCAGTAAAGGAAGAACATCCATTGGTTTCTTTAAAATGTGCTGGTCAATGATTATGCTGTGATTGCTAGTTTATTTTACTTTCTTCCCATATGTTACAGATAAAGAGAAGACGATGTCTCACTACTGGCGTCTATGTGAAAATGCCTTCTGAAAAGCTAGAGAAAAAAGTGATTCCATTCCATATCACTGTTAACTGTAACAAGGAAGGAGAGAAACCATTTCCTAGCTGGGATGGAGTGTCTGCTAGTTCATTTCAGTTAAAGAAATAAATTAACTGTCTTTTTACAAAAGGCATACAGGAAGGTGAGAGAATATTCCTTGTAACTTCTGTGGTTTGGAGGAGAATAAATAGTATATGTATTCACGTTTGAAGATTAACCCTATCACATAAAAATGGCTACATTAGGCCATTGACTTTTTTGAGATTTATTGTACCAATATGTAATATATATGTGTGTAGCATTAAGAGCTATTGCTGTTACAGTTGAGCATCTTACTGTCAAATTTCATCATGCCTACTGATCAACTGAAATCCAAACACTATTATGACAGAGACTTGTGTGCCACTGCAAGGCTGATCCACAAGTCTGGGAGGAGAGGTAGGAGAGCACACTAATGTACAAAGGAATGTTGACTTTTTCCCCTGCATTGATATTTATTAGTTCCATTTCTGGCATTAGTGCTCTGCACTTCCACAGAGGCCTCCCCATAGGCTGGCACTGATGACACTGCTGCTCTTGAAGCCTGATCTTAGCTCTCTTGAGTGGCATTGTGTCCCAGAAGTGCTGTGATGGAGCTGACTGATGGTCTCAGCCAGTGCTGACAGTGGTTAGTGAAAAGGCACCAGCAGGAGCCCTCTTAGTCTGTGTTGGAAGAATGCTCCAGCTCTGCTGGGGCCTTGTGTTTTACAAATGCTAAATTAGCATCTATCCAAAAGGCAGAAGTATGTTGCTGTGTTTAACGAAGTCTATTTTCCATGAAAATACAGACAGTGTATAATCTTGTTTATTAGTAATGTATCATTCAATAAAAACCTTGAAGCTTTGCCCAAATTCAAGTTCATTTCGTGTTCACCATTCTCAGAATAGTGAGAAACAGGAAGTGGCTACATGTTAGAAAGCAGTGAAGACAACATGAACCTTTCCTCTCTGACCCTGTGTTTTGCCCTTCAGAGACAGCCTGTGTGCTAATGCCAACAATTCTGTTCTCAGCTCTCCTTCTCAGCCAGCTACCATTACAATCTGTCAGTTCTTCCATTTGTCTAGTTACAGCTGCTGTGATGTGCTTCAGACACTCTACCAATCAAGTTTTCACTTCCATCAGAGTTACTCACTTGCAGAAGGTAGCTGTAATGCCTTTGACAGCACCTCCCATACATGTTTAAACAAAAAAACTTGTCCTAGTTTCAAATCCTGTTTTCTTTGCACCACTCTGACACTCTCACTCACTAAATGCCAGTCAACACGCAAAGCTGCTGGAGCTTAAAAGGCCTAATTTCAGAATCCTCAGCTACTATCTATTAATTTGATTCTTTGAGATCAAAATTTCACCTTGCAACCCAGAACACTGGCAGCATGTGCTTCTGTTTCACTGCTGTGAATCCATCTTCTTGGCTGCACAGCTGTGCAGCCAAACCCCAGAGCCCTTTATTCTATGTTCTTGCAGTGGCAGCAGTTCCCAGTACACCAAATCTCATAGCTCTTCTAGTCTGCTTTCCCTCTCTTTCCCATTCATCTGACACCACCTCCAACTGTGCAAAGACACATTCACATTCTCAATTTGCCAGTGTTTGCAGGTGCTAACTGCTCTCTCAGTGTTGATATACAAGTGCTGCATTAAGTAAAAGTAGCATCTGATGACTTATCTTTTTTTTGGAGGTATTTTAGTATTCTGACATTAGTCTGGTATTTTCCCCTAATTTTTCACTACCCAGTGTTTTGGGGATAAAAAATGGTAAAGGATGACATATCTATTGTCACTGCAAAATGACTAAACTTCTGCCCTTTCAGGTGCAGCCTGATCAGGCAAGTGTGTTCCATGACTCCATGACGAAAAATAGGTTTGACCCACACATCCACTTGTAGAAGCTGTAGAAAGCGTGAATAACTATCCAGGGCAATTTTTTCCACCATAGCAAGTAGTGAATCATGTGTCTGACCTCTAATCAGGAATCAACTATTTCTTTATTTTCCTCTCTTTGGCAATTCCTCTATACATACTTTTTTTAAGCAATTTAAAAGCAGTTCAAGTACATTATATTCCAAGCTTATCCCTCCTGGGTGAAAAGATGCTTTGGATCTGTATCCATAACCTCATAACATCTGGCCACAGCTGGCTGTGAATCTGTGTCACCACAGAACCTGTGCATATTCCAATTCACCTCCATTTCTGACCACTAAGTGGACCATAACTAGGCCTTCTGCATCCAACTGGACAATTTCCTTTTGGCACACCTGTGTTTTCTTGAGACACTCAGTCTGTAACAATCAGGAAAGAATTCTGCCATAAATTACGAGCAGGTTACTAAAATAGCTGAATAGTGAAGGTTATGGGAGAGCAGAACAAAAACAATAATCTCACATATGGTAGTAGCAATATTTTGTGTTTGCCTCCTGCACTTAAATAATTATTGATGATTATTAATTTTCTTATTAATCTCTAAAATGATGATGTTTATTAATTATCCTACAAGAAATTACTTTGCCCAAATTCTCTGTCTGTTCTGATCTTCTCTTCATCCTTAGTGGTTACTTTTTCCAACCTTCTCTCATTTATGCAGTGCTTTATTTTCTTTGGCTTTCCTTACCACTGTGACAGCCTTTGCTGAGCTGAATGTTATATAATGCTTTATCACTTTTTGTTCTAAGCCAGGTTCCCCTTTTGAATTTTCTGGCAGAATAGTAGGTGCACTCAAATCAGCAGATGGGCAGTGAAGACCAAAGTGAGATTTCAGTTCAGATTTTATTGACAATGATATTCTCATCATTCATATCTGGCACTACAGAGATGAGTGGAGCCCAAGTACCTGCAGAGATGATATTTATACCTACCTCCCTATGGTTCATGCAGCAGCTAGCTCTGATGAGGGCAGAGCCCAAACCTCAGGAAATTTCCATTGTCCTGTGATGCCCTCCAGAACCTCGAGGTCGGTGCTTTTCCCTGATAGCAGGGAGATTTTTCACTATCAGCACTCCAAAAAATTTTATATTTATGAGTCAAATACAGTGTTCTGTGAGATCACAGCAGTACCAAAATGAAAGGTGAAAATGCTAGATCAGTGTGTATCCCAGAAAATGCAATAAAGAGGAAACGATGCCTCTTTCTGGGAAGAATGTGCAAAGCAAAGATGAAAAGGATTTGGTCTCAGAACTCTGCTCATTAGAATGGGGAGTTTTAAAACACAACTGAGTATCTTACCTGGACAGCCAAATTATGAGACCATACTGCTTGGTGAGGTTCAGGAAGAACTTCTTTTGATATGCTCTTCACCTCTTTAGAAGATCTGTCAGCCTGTTTGTGAAAGAGAGAGTGTGAGTTTCTGGCTGGATGGTCGGAATTCACAGGTAAACAGGTCTGCATCAAAGACAATGGCATATGCATACACCACTCCCAGCCCTCAATATTCTACTTTCATTTTCATCCACTTCTTTATCTGAACTATTTCTTTCCTTGTAATTTTCAATTATCAGAGTTCTATCTGATAGAGAAAAACATATGACAAAGGTTTCCCACGCAGCTACTCTGTGAGTAGGAAATGAGTATATCATTTGAGGTTTAGAGATTCCCCACTCTTTGAAGGAATATATGAATCTGAACTCACTACTCTGTCAGGCCTTGATGTCTGTAGGGAAAGTTCATTAATGCCATTTTCCGCAGATAATAAATTTTTAAAAAATCATCAAGGACTCCTAGGCTATGCAAGAGCAGACATCCTTCGTAACGTCCTGACTTTTGCTCAAGACTTCCTTGGGTCTAATTTCTTGTTTTCCAATAACCAGTGCTGGCATTGGCCAGGTAACTCCTAACAGATCTGACAAAATTCTTGGCTTCAGTACTGACTTTGAGCTTTGCAGGTCCAAAGTGTGAGTATGTGTGTGAGGAGCTGAGATGAGGTTTGGAGGTAAAGTACCTTGGAAGGTAAGATACAAGGCTTCTTCCTTTCACTAGATAAAAGCTACTGCTGGGGAGTGAGTTCTGAAAAACCAACCAGAAAATGCATGATTTTGCCTGTGACAGGCACAGTCTGAACCATGACTAAGGAGCTCTACCTCTAGGAGAGGCATAAACAGGAATCAGATGATGGATCCAAGAGCTGTAACATGAAATCCAAACCAAAGAAGGCTGGTGCATAGCAGATGGATTTATGCATTACTAAAACAAATTTATTGTTGACATTTGCAATCTGCATTTTTGCTTGAACATGTAAAAGTTATTTTGAGGTAGCTTCTTTCACAGCTAAGCAGTGGGGCCCCTGCAGTTAACAGTTATTGATAAAAGATCTTAGAAACTGTGGGAAGAGGGAGGTTTAAAAATTGTGGCTGAAGGCAGTTTAAAATTTTTTGTTGTTTACTAGAGGGATGAAGCAAGGAAGAGTTTAAGTAAGGGACAAAACGTCACTGAGAATCATTAGTAATTGCAGCCGAGGTAACATGGCAGATGTTTCCATGAACTAAAAGATTGTTACCTACTCAAAATTTCACTATTCTTTCCTTTTTCGACTTTTCAAACATAATTCTATTTCTATTTCTATTTTTATAGCAAGCTGCCTTAATCACAGTCACATTTTTATATTTTACTGAACATTTTTTAGTGATTATGAAGTTTCAGTTGAACGAAAAGTTCTCAGTTTCTTCACTGATGGGTTTTCCTCTTCATTCTTTTTTGATTGCTGTTTTTAAAGAGTAGTATATGAAAATGTTCAGTTTGGTCTGCTTCATTCAGCAAAAAGCAAGGCCTTGCTTTCAGATAAAATGGAATTTCTCACATAATTTCATTATTCCAACAGGTGGTACTGTTAGATGACTACATCCTGTAACAGCACAGTTGATAAAACTGGGAAAACTTGAAACACTGGGTAACATCTGGTTGGACTATTCTGTGTTGTGGGTGGGATTTACTGACATTCATTCTCTAGCCTGCAATGCAGCAGCTTGTGTGGAAAGCTGGAACAAGCAGCAGTGTGCTTTATTCTTCCCAGACAAATCAGTGTCTGGGATGTAGGCTTTCTATAGGAAATGAATATTAAAGTTTGGGCCAAGATTGCCATTGACATGAAAAATACAAGATTGCTGCTTTTATATAAATAAAAATATATACACTGAGCAAATACTCCATGTTTTTTTCAGACTAGAAACTCAGTAG